ATTTTCTCGAAAATTCTGTATAACAAAATAAAATTCACAGTGACGGGTATGAATAAATAAAGAAACAATACGAGTAATAAGAAAAAGGTCGCAATTTAATTTTTTTCTCTTAAGATAAATCTTTTTTAATAGCTATTTTTAACCATTTTTATATTTTTTTTTTATCTCATTCCTCGCTTAATATACACAGGCAATATTAATTAATTGGAAAATAACGTTCTGACAATAAAACAAAAAAAAAAAAACGAATTTTTTTTTTTTAAGGAAAATTCATTTTCATTCAATTTTAATCTTTGCATTTTCAACATTTTTTTTTTCTTGTTTTCGCTCTCTTAAGATTCTTTAAAATTAATTAGTTTTTCACAATATTTGAAATGAAGAGTTCCTCCTTCAATTCCTTTTCGTATATATATATATATATATACATTTAATAAGAATTTATTGTAGCTTCTTGATAACATTTATACAATATTATAAAATATAACAATAATGAAAATAATTGTGAAAAAGGATTTCTTATATATTATATAAAGAGAGAGAAAATCACTTTGGAAATTATATAAAATTCTGGTTCTTGTCTTTTAAATACCACTTTATCAAACAGAGAATAAAAAGTCCATGTTTTTTTCTTGTTGTGTTTGTATTTTAAAGTTGAGTCCTTTTTTTTTTGTTTAAATATTTTAATTGCTTTTATTAAATTATTTCATCAAATTTTATTTTTGTTTAATATTATTTTCCTTTTCATTTTTATTTGTTTTTTGTTATTGGTTTGGTTGGTTTACTCTTAACTTTTAAATTAAAATTAATTATTTTTTAAGTTATTAGTTTTCTTGTTTTAATTCTGTTTCTTTTAATTGTATTTTAATTCCAGCAATTAACTTCAGAATCAGTGTTGTAATATTCTCAAAAAATTAAAATCCTTTCTTTGTATGTATATATACACATATAAATATATTTAATATAAAATATTCTGTTACAGATTGTGATTTATTTAAAAATAATTTATTGTTATATTTTGTATAATATGTAGGTGTTTGTAGAGTCTATAATATTATGAATTCATTGTGCTTCAATGTAAAATGAAAAACAAAACCAAATTAAATTAAAATTTTATTTAAAATTATTTTATATAATATTATACATTTTATACCAATTCCTTATTATACCATACTAAATTAAAAAATTATTTAGTGTATGTAATGCTTGTATAAAATGTATGAAATATGCATTTATGACATTGTTTTTTAAATATACATTTAACACGTTTTGCTGGCAAAACTATCAGAGATAAAGGAAAGTGTTATATGGGTCAACTTTTAAATTTTATTGTAGCGCATCGAAAAAACCAAAATAAAAAACAAATAGTAATAAAATAACCAATAACAAATAACACAAATTTTTGAAAAATTTCAAGTTTTGTTAAAAAAAATTAAAACAAAAATTCTGAATTTGACAAGTTTTATCTCGAAAGCTATTGCACAAATCAAATTTACTGTAGGACCGAAAATAAAGAGCAATTAATCATCTATAAAAGCAGCCCCCGGTGATTACTCTATGTCGTATGATTCCAAAGTTATAAGAATTTATTTATATGTAGAAAAAATCTGGTATCTGTAGCTCTGAAAACGAGTATATCTGTACCCACACAATTTTTTACTGGATATTCAATTAAGAATCAGTTCTGAAATTATTATGCCACCTTATGCAGAACACCCTACATATTAATCAATTTATTTATTTAATAGTTAAATTAATTTTTTTCAAATTATATCTTGTATGAGTTGGAAACGTCATATATACAGGGTACAATTTTATTTTTTTTGTTAAAGGTTTTGATTTATTGCGAATAAATACTTAATTATTAATTTTTCAAAATTAACAAAAGCCGAAGTTTATACTTAGTGGAATAATTGACCAAATGAGTAATTTATCAATCCCAGACGCATATTCTAATTAACGTTATTAATTTAAATACATAATTGGATTTTTTTTAATTAAATAATATTGAAAAAATTAACAATTTAATTTATAATTAAAGAAAATATACAAAAATCCTATATTACAATTAATTCATCTTAATTTTTTCAATTCATTGTACATATAGTCTAATTTTATGCATTCGGTCATAAAAATGTTTCATGTTTATATATGAAATTTATTTCTCATACTATTAATTTTGAATATTTGTTTAATTAAATGCAATAATTTCAAAAATAATTGTATAATGTTAAAAATAAAAAAATTTAACCCTAATATGTCAAAAATTTAATTTTAATGTACACATATGTACAAATTTTTTTTTATTTATTTTAAAAAAATCAATAATTTATCAATAATTTATAATTTTATTTATTAAATAAAATATATGGAATAGCAAGACATGTAGACGAAAATGTAAGCAAGAGTAAACTATTATTACTAGTAATATTTGTTATACATGCATAAAACACCCATATTATATAAATTCGGCATTACTATATATTCTCCGAATGTACATAATATGCGATTCTTTTTTTCATATGGGAAGGGGACCAGCAGAGTGGTTATCTTGTATAATATTAAAACGAAAAATCAATTTCAAATTTGCCACATAATATTATCAAAATATACCGTAACGTGTCTCTCCTTTTTTCCAACATCTTGTTTTTATTCTTCTTTTATTATATTGTTCCCGAAATTAATTCAAAGAAAATAAGAAGAGAAAATTTACTAACAAAAGAAGAAAAGAAATCCTTTTTTTTTTATTATTATTATTTTTACATTTGCATTTTCCTTCAAATTTTTCTTTTTTCATTTCTTTCAATGGGAAACTGAATTATTTACCTTTTTCTTTCCGATATACATATATGTATATACAAGCATCTAACACGAAAAAAAAATTAAGATGATGATGAAAAACGTTGTGTTCTCGTCTCACTCTTAAATTACAAATATATTTCGTTTTCTTATTTAAAAGTTTATCAATCGTATTCAATCATTTCTACTTTGTTCATATCCCAATTTATTAGATGCCTCTGTTAGAGAAGATGTGATGGCAAAAAAAAAAAAAACAAGAAAGAGAAATCAATTTGAAAATAAAAAAAAAAAACAACGCCTAACAATAATTTTTTTTTTTTTTGTTATTTTATTATTATTTTTCTTTTCTTAATGTATTTTATATAAGATTATATTCGCGTTACGCTAAACTATATCGTATTCAGATGCATAATATTATTATATACCGAGAATGTAAATATATATGTACGCATATACAGGTATAGGTTCAAATGTCTAAATAAAAAGTAGCAGGTGTCTGTATGATGTGGTAATGTGGTGTGGATAATGCTCATTTTATATAAATAAATAATATATGAGAGAGTCTACCCACAATTATACATGATATACACAATATAATGTATATATGTATATAATATTTAAGGGAAGAAATTTCATTAACATACTATTATATAAGGTAAAAAGCATACCTACATATAATAGGTACAAAAATAAAATATATCCAAATCAATCTTAATAAACCGCCATCAAATTGATTTCTCATTCCTTTAGAATTCTCAATAACAAAAAAAAAATTTTTTTTAAGTGAAATTTTCTTCTTTTTAGGTAGGTATACGTTTATATATATATATATATATATATACATATATATCTCCCTTTTATATTTTAATGAAATCAAAGATCCTTAATTGAGTCCCAAAAAAAAAAATACAAGAAAAAAATTGTGTTTGTACCTTTAATATACTCGTAGTGTGTAAAAATGTATGTGTTTAGTCTTAAAAAAAAAAAAAAAAAACAAAAATTCTGAACCGTTTTCAGTTGATTTTCAATATTAAATGTGAATTTTTCAAACGAAAATGAAATGATGAATAAAAATCAAAATAACAAAAATTAAAGGATAAAAAAAAAGCAATAATAAACAGAATAACTACGAAGAAAGAAAAAAATAAAAGTCACAGGTGGTGGCATGTGCCAAACGTGCACATTATTTTTTTTTTGTTGTGTTCTTCTTTTTTTTCATGGTTTTGTAAGTTTTCTTTGTTTTTTGTCTTTCACATTTTTGATATTTTTTTAAATGCATCACTATAAAATTCGTGTTATGCGGGCATCTAAGGATTCATTTTATTTTTGAAAAATGAAAAATTTTATACATACTTCCATTATCGTATATTATTTTTTCAATATATATATAATAGTTTTTTTATTATATGTATAACATACCTACATATAAGGTGAGCAGTGAGCACATAACATTATAACGAGCAACACATACACGCTTCCTTATACACCGCATTACAATATTATAAATGAAAAATAAATTGGTATAACAACAACCGTCATAACACAAAAATTATATTTCTTAACGGCACTTGCTCGAAGGATAATTTTTGAATAAAGAAAAAATATAAAAAAAAAAAACAAAAAACTTTATTAAAAGGTATGCGGGTAAAAAAACGTACGTTAAAATAAAAACGTGTTAATCGTATACAATATAAGAATGTTTGTAGTACAGCAAGTCTAGAATAATATTGGTATACAATGTATGCTTACATACCACTAAACAAAACAAAAAAAAAAAAAAAAACGAACCCACATCTTTCAATTTAAATTTTTTTTTTTTTGTTTTTCTATTTTCATTTAATTTTGAGTGTGAAACAATAATAAGAATTTTTATGATAAAGAAATCGGGTATGTGTACAATCTCGTTGTTTGCTGTCATCACAGTTAATGTGTTCCTTTGAACATTTCAAAAGAGTAACGAAAAAAAAATTTTGTTTTTTTTTTTTTTTTGTTATTTTCTCTAAAATTTTATTATTTTTATACTCATTTTTTTTTTTAATAATGAAATAACTGTATTAAAAATATATGAAATTTTTTTTTTCGTTTCCTTAATTTCTAATTCACTTCGCATTTTCTTTAACACTTCTTCTCTAAATTCAAATATTAAATTTCTAGAAAGTGGGATTTTACCTATAAGAATTGTGTACAATGCTGCCACTGTTTACTCCGTGCTATTAATATTGTATTATTATTGTTGTTATTATTATTACCTACTGCTGCTAGTGCTGGTACTTGTTTACATGCACATGTACACAAATACATTAATTTTTTTGTTTTACTTCATTCAACTTCTTTTGTCGTTTAATTATTAATATTTCTTTGCATTTTTTTTTTTGGTGTTTTTTTACCTTGTATATATGCTCTGTTTTCCTAACCATTCTACACAGATATGTATACATACAAGTAATATGAAAAGGTATAACAAAAAATATTGTGTAGTTATTTAACTTGCTAAAAATAAAGCACCAAAAAAAAAAGAATTTTTTTTGAATGAGTGTAATAGAAAAAACAGAGAGAAGAAGAAAATTAAAAGAAAGAAACAAAACAAAAAACAAAAAAAATTTTTTTTGTTGAACCATTTTTAAAAATAGGTAGGTATTCCTGAATCTTGATACTACCTGATGTTAAAAATTACGAGACACAAAAATTAAAATGAATGAAAAAAGGAAAAAAGAAAAACCACTAAGCATACTAACATAGGGAAATTGTTGAATGGGGAGACTTTCTGACAATCTACAACCACATATACAATTATATACAAGTATAAAATGATAGTTAATAACGAGTAAATAATTAATAAAAGGCAATTGTTCAGAATATCGTAAGATGATTTTCTTCATATACATATTGCATTTAAAGCGTATATTATAGAGAGAGTAAAAAAAATTAAAATTTTCAAGAATGATCTTTTGTATTTCTTTTGGTAAAAATTAGTTATAAACAATAATGTGAGAATGATTTTAAGGGTGCGACGGGGATTGAAAGAAGTGAGAACATGAAAAATTAGTGAATATTCTGATATTAATTTCAGTGTAAATCTATAATTTGTTAAATAAAAATACAAGATTAAATTAAAAGGAATCACTTTGAGTGAATTTGAAATTTAAAATGCATAAAGAGCTGGTACTTCAAAATGAAACAAACAGACGTGACCCAAATACTTCCCCAAATTCCCAAAGCAATACTTTATCTCCTTACTTTCTTTAGATATGATACCTATAAGAAGAAAAAGTCTTCTTGTACTAATTGGAAAATTTCAAGAAAGGATTCGACAAAATATTATTCTAAACGAAAAATCTAAAATTATTTCAAAAATCAAAATTTAAAAAAAATTTCTTATTTTTTGGTTGTAAAATTCTAAAAAAAAGGAACTACTATGTAACACCAGTCGGGTGTAAACAATAATTTAAGGTACATAATAATAATAAAAGATCCATTATCTGAGTATATACATACATACATGTATATTATGTATGTATGTATGTATTAAAAAATTTTTTTTTCTGTTTCTTCTCTTTCTATACATTTTTCAATTACTTTTTCATTAGTGCATGGGGGAAAATATCTTTTAATTATTATGAAGAACAATAGAGGATTTCTGAAGAGTAGAAATAACCGAGAAAATTAGTCAGGATGAAAGAGTTTTTGTTTAAGTTCATTTTTAACATTATTATTATTATTATTATTGTTTGTTATAGTTGTTATTCTTGTTTATTATTTCTTCCATCGTTTTGTGTTCGTATTGAATTCTTTTTTTTTTAATTTTTACAAAAATATCATGTATTTGAAAAAAAAAAATATAGGTTTCTGTATACTCATATTTATATACAAAAATGTAAATATGTATAGTTATAATTAAAAGTTATATATACATATATAATATGTAGGTACTATGAAAATTTCATATTGAAATAAAAAACGGCATAATTACGTACATAAATACATAAAAAAAATTTTGTGTTAAAACAGAGTGGTCCAAAAATTAATTGAAAATTTTTAGTGGCGGTAGGAAGTAATTGAAGTAATGAACAATAATTTTTAAAAATTACAATGATTTAAGACTTAAGAGCTTTATTCAGAAATTAAAATTTCAAAATTACAAAATTCAATTCTCAAAAATTTTAATTGATAAACTATTGTTAGTTCCGAAATCGCCATAAAACTCACATTTTAAGTTGGAAATTTTCACTAATATTTTAAACATTAATTGTGCTCACAATAATTATTTTACAGCCTATATAGTTAAGGAAGAAATCTTAAAGAGCATTTACTGTATAAGTTTCCGCTATACTAAAAATTATTTTTGTTCATCCATTCTACATTATGTACTTACACACATTTCGAGAAAATAAAAGTTTTCACAAAGGAAAACAAAAAAAAAAATATGTATTCCTCATTTTCCCTTCCTTTTCCTTGTTTTTCACTTTTGTTTTTTTTTTGGTCTTTCTCCTTTTCTCTATTTTTGTTATCCTTAAAATCAGGTTAAAAATTAATAATTGCTGTTGACTTGTATAATGGAAAATAATTAAAGTTGAAAAGTAGGTAGGTACTAAAAAAAAAATTTTTTAAAAAACATAGCTAGGAAAAAAAAGCACAAAGCTAAATTAAGAACAGAAATTTTCAAAAATAAAAAAAAAAAATTATATCTCGTGTAATTTGCAATTCTGAAAGAAAGAAAATGATGGCTATTAGTTTTGCCCTTTTCTTTTTTTTTGGTTTAAATTTTATATACCATTTTTTTTTTTTGCTTCCAACATTACAATGTTAGTTTACACAAATTGTTTTGTACTCAACATTAAATAAGTATTGTATGTTGTTCTGCATAACCTTATATAGTTTAGTTTATTATTTCAGTTAATTGTTCTCATAAAGCAGAACAATTTATAAGATTTTATTTTTTTTCTGAATATTTAATCAAAATTTAAATTAATATTTAAATATGAAATTTTTTGTAAAATAATAAAGATGAATAATCACAATTTATGTAATATATTCTGAATTGTGTTAAACAGATGGAATAATTTTAGGTAATCATGTGTATATGTGAATAGTAATATGTTAAAGATAAAGTCAATAAAATTAAATAAATGTCCTGCTTAAACCTATTTAGTACCAACTACCAATAGTGATAACAATATATTTTACTTGAATTCCAATGAAAATTGTTGATCTTACCTGAAAATAGAAAAAAAAATAGTATTAATTAAATTAATGTCTCTTTTAATAAATTTGTATATAATTAAGTAAATTTTTAATTAGGTTTTTCAGTGATCAATTATTAAATGTTTTAGGTGAAAATTTCGTTTCAATTCTTGTGCTATAAGAACATTAGAATCGAGTATTTTACTCACACTGTCTTTTCTATTTGGAACATAATTTTTACTATTTATTAAACACCTGAATTAACACTGCAATATAAAAGTATGATAAGCTGATTTATTCAATTTGTTTTTTGAAAATAGAAATTTCATCACAGCGAAGGCGTTCTTTATTAATGTTATTTTCATAGAAATAAGAGTATAGACCTTAATTTTTAAATTTCTGGTTATTTAAATAAAATATTTACCACATAACTAATAGCTATATCTTTGATATTTAAAAAATTAATGAATTTTTTTCAAAATTTTTAAAATCTTAAAGTAAAATTTAAAAAGTTTTTTAATATAAAACTTTTATTTAACAAATACATAATTGCAAATTATTTGGTATTTTTACTTGTTTTGATCAACGCCTAAAACTATATATTCAACTAATCTCTTAAAATTTAATAAAAAAATAAATTATGATATTAATTTATTATTAATTCATAAGTTATGAAAAGATTAAATTTATTTTTATAATTTAATAATTAAAATTTCTATATAACCTAGTATATATATATATATATACCTTTGTTTTTTTATTATTATACAATATACAAATCCTATCTGGCCCGGTACTAAGTTGTTCTGTGCCCTACGCGGTCTCCAAAAATTACGCTTCTCCCCTCTTCTCCAAGCTTTTAAAATATTTTACGTTGAACATTTATTATACTTTCTTTAGCAACTTTATTATTATAAATGCAAAAATAATCATAGAATTTAAAGCCTACGAAATTAAACTTTGAGCTATTGGTTTTGCAATATTTCGTATATAAGTTCGCTGTATATATATATATATACAAAATTTATAATATTAAGTCCGTTTTATATGTATATACAGAAATTAATTAAATTACTTTCGCTGTATATATTGAATGAAAAATATTTTTTGTAAAACACGTAAGACAAAAAATTGTAAAAATTTTTTACTTCTTATAATTTAATTTTCAATGGTGCCCTCGTATTCTGGCGCTCTTTCCAAATGCTTACTTTACAAACATAGTAGATCCGGCACTGTATATATTATATAATATTTATAAATATTTTTAATATTTTTAATGTTAATATAACTATGATTCACCACTTAATATTGCCTCTATAATATTATGACATTGCCTTTAAGTAATTTCCAATTTAAAATTATTGATAAACTAAATTATATATATACATATATATAGATCTGAATTGCAATACGTATATACATATATATATGTATAACAACAAAATAACAAAATGAAGAACAAAGCAAGCAAAAATTATAAAACTAAAAACTTCATATATGTATATAACAATATAGTACATTTTAATGCTATTAATCGAAAAATATAATATTAAAGAGAAAAAAAAAAATCTGATTTTTATATTTATTTTAATTCTTAATATATTTTGAAATTAAAATTAAAAGAAAATATCCTTGAGTCAAGCTGATAATCAAGTAAATTTTATCGTTTTATGCTTTTAAAATAACAAATTTTTTTTTTATATTAAGTATATTTTATCGTTTCATTATTATAATTTATTATTGTATATATATGTGTATATAAAATTTATCATATATATTTATCATAATATCCTTTTAATAAAGAGCTCTTTAATTGAATTTTTTTTCCTTTTATTTTATTCTTACTCTATTTTTTTCCTATTTTACCCTCTCTTCACCTCATTGTCTATGTCTGTCTTATTCACTCTTGATCTTAAAGAATTAATTATTCATGAAAAATGAAAATAAAATAAAATTAAAAATAAAAATATTTTTCTGTGTATCCACTTAATAATTTATATAATATATGCATATATTATATAAACATACATATAAATTAATTATTTATAACTTTATTGTATATATATACATACAAATACACATATCGGCCTATTTATGATTATTATAATATACTTATATAT